CCATGGGTCCCTGAGCACACTTTCCTCCTGCAGGTGGTACAGAACATAGCTGTCGGTGTCCACACAGTCAGCCAGGATGGCCCGCACCTGCTGGAGCCGCCCGAGGGCCTCCTGGGAGTCGGGGCCTACGTACAGAAGGATGTTGGGCGCCTTTCCCGTGATGTTGACTCTCCTCCCTTCTTCTTTAGGGCAGATCTCATCGGCAACACCCTCCAAACTGCTGCCATGATCATAGGGAAGGTCTGGAATGTTCTCTGCAGATGCAAACTTGACCGACTCAATGGTGCTATTCTCAAGTTCTAAGCATTCGTGGCAACTAGACAGGTGGAGGTGAAAATGCTCCAGAGGGCCCGCTCCCTGCTCACTGTCCCCAGGAGGCTCACTCCCAGAGGCACTGCCCCTCCTCGGCTTGGAAGAACCTTCTGGAAGAGAAGAACCTTCTGGAAGAGCCTTTGGGTCATCCTTGCCAGGGTGCTCCATAAAGTCCCGTGCCGGCTCGGTCTCCAGGGAGGGTTCAGGGTTTGGCTGTAGGACTTGGGCTTGCTTGTGTACAGCCTGATCCTTGAGTTCCTTCAGAGCAGAGTCTTGCAAGTGCACAGCTGGAGTACAGGAAAGATCACAGAGGGCTCATCAGCACTTATTTGTCATGCAGCTGGCAAAATAGCCTCACCAACTCTCCACATTCTGCCACCTACATTCCGGCAGAGCCACCTGCACAGCTCCTACTCACATCCCCACCTCAACTCTAGGCATCCCTGGGAGCCACACAATCGCTGCCACCAGCTAGAAGGGTGCTCCTGAAGACCTCCAGTGAAATTCCTGATTTCCACATCCTTCCTACTCAAATCAGAACCCCAGATCATCTTCTTGACTGGTGAAGAAGGTGAGATTAAGAGGGGAGATTTTGTCTATTAGAGATTCAACTAGGCTAGGCTGTGATTCTCCTACATGACACTGAAACTGAGGAATAAAAAGGACACATTCATGGACCCTACCCAAGCATGCCCCAGGAGGAGTCATGCACAGGACACTTCAGAGGATCGGCGAAATGGTCTATCCAGTGCAACATAAGCTTACAATAACTGATCCAAAAAACAGGTATTGAGCGCTTTCTGCACATGGGACACGATATTAGGCATGTGTGCATGGTAAATCAGATTCCCAGAGCCAATAAGTGGCACTTACTTGCCCCTGAAACAAATGAAAGCGTCACAGACAGCAAGCACACACACAAGCCTAAGGAAAGCAGGTCATGTGCTACCTGTCCAAAACTGTGAAATGCATATTTAAATAAAAAGCCTTTAGATTTAGACCTTCACAGTACAACTGGCTATTATTCCCTTTCAGTCAGAACTATAGGCGAGAACCATTATATTGTGTTATGTTATGTAAAATAAACACTATAAGTCAT